GTTTGTTCCCTCTGTTCATGAGACAGGAACAATGTGCTGTTAATGGAAGCGAGACAAAGACACCGGCATACGAAACCTGAGCTTCAATAAGGAAACTAAAATAGTGCACAGTCCCACCTGAAATACCCACGGACGAAAACACTGGACGTCCTCACAATGAGTCACGTTCTCTAAATGTAAAAACATCACAGACGTGTTTCTCCGTCCTAACGACGCGTCTCCAGTTACACGAAAGTCGTATTTGTGTGTTTATTATCGGCCATGTTGGAGCTTCCTTCTCCTTCATTATCTGCTTCAGCGAGAGACCCTCATCTCCCCGAGACGAGGAGGCACAGGTGGCACCGACACACACACACACACACCCTCGTGCCCGCTCTCTCGCCGCTTCATTACGGATGTCTGTCCTCGTCTCCCCTCGTCGCACCGCCACCTGCTTCTCAGAGCAGCTGGAGGAGGGGTGAAAGGTCGAAGTATTTATAATGCCATGCGACAGCAGATGGGGCTGAGCATTATGAGGTGTGTGTGTGTGATTTTGCAGCCTGCTGGGAGAAAACCCAGATGTTTTCAGGGTTTGTAGTCGGGGTGAAAGCAGGGACTCACCCAGGACGAAGATCAGGACGCAGCTTGGAGAGGTTGCCAGTCCATCACAGGGCCGAGCTATTCAATTAAAGCCATTTAATAACTGCGCTGGTAAATTAGACACACAGTGCACATGTACAAACACCGAGTGAGAGTCTGGACCAGCTGACAGGCTCGGTTCACTCTCCCACCTTGTTTGAAGTAGGTGAGTCTGCTTCATTACAGATTTCAGCGTCTCTGAAGCTGAATGATCATCACAGCCAGGACTCAAAGTTACACTAAAGCTTCTCGTTTGCTGCTAACAAACCAAACGCTTTGAATGTTAAAAATTCAGCGAGTTGTGATGGTTTCTACTGCGTATGCATCTCTGATGTGCATGTATTGCTGATCACATGGGCCACGTTACAGTGATCAGTGTGGCGTCTGCATGCATGAGACAGGATACATTTTTTGCTAAAAACAGTGTAGTGTTTGTCATTTTGTGCCTTGACGTGCTCTGAAATCTCACGCAGCAGAGTGAGGCGTGATTGTGATAACGATCAGATTTGTCTTCAGCTGTTCGCGCTGATCGAAAATCATCACGTCAGAGTCACAAACGGTGGGAAAAGTCAACACTGGCACACGCTC